CAGTGAGGAGGATGACTCCAGGCAGGAAGATGAGATTTCCCATAAAAACCTCTCTGAAATTTTTGTCTTGTTCATTAAAACAGCAGAACCACATCCCAGCTCTCTACAGACTTTACTGCCCAACATTAGGTCATCCCACTGGTATATGACTGGTGTCCACCGTCCCTCATCTTTGATCTCCAATGTTCCAGCACAGTGACTCTCCTCTCCGACCAACCTCATCTGTGGTGGAGCTGTAAGAACAGGTGAACGTCATCAGGTCAGAAAATCATTCCGCCGGTTTCATCAACAGCAGCTATTTTCTTACCTGAACAGTTGATTCCAACAGCCTTGTCAGGTGAACACATGTTTTCATTTGATCTATCTATCTATCTATCTATCTATCTATCTATCTATCTATCTATCTATCTATCTATCTATCTATCTATCTATCTATCTACCCATTCAGAATGAATGAAGAAAAAACCCCAAATACAGCAGCTGTTAATCGTCCACTTGTTACACCGTACTAAGCCGCTGTTCCACGCCCGCGGCACCAAACCAGGAGACAAACAACCATCAACACTTACATTTGTTTATTTAATTCTCCTTTCAAGCAGAACTGCGAGAAAACCCACATCAGAATGAAGTATGTGACCAGTAATGAACCAGAAATGTCTCTGTTCTTGCTGCACTTCACCCTTTTCTCCACACGGTGTCGCACTCGGTGTGTTTCAGATCCTGCACTCGTATCACGGAGCAGATGTGAGACACTTGTGGCATCATTATTATAATTGTAGTGCTGGTTCATTTAGCACGCACACTAGCCTGCATTCAAAATAGTACATTTGTCCTGAATATCTTTTTAAAATATATATATATTTATGGACATGATTTACTGTTCTTTTCCCTCTAAACAGTGGTGACAAGACATAGAAATGTTTTCACAAAAGTTAGTAGGAGAATCAAATTCAAGTGTACATTCACATGTCTTCAGTCTTTTCTTCTTCTTTTTTTTTTTACTTCAAATATGAGTGATTTTAAGCGTCACTGGCCAGAAGCTGTAAACCGTGGTCTTCACCGGCCTGGGCTTTGAGCGCACCGACGCTCTGCGTCTCCTTTCTGCGGTTACAGAGCGCGTGATGTCCGAGAAAAACCAGCAACACGGTCAGAATCGTGGTGCAAAATATGATGGCGATGAAAACCCCCTTGGAGACCCCCGAGGGCTGCCTGGTGGGCTCAGGCTCGGGTGGAACGACGACTTCAGTTGTAGGTACGATTTCTTCATCCGTTTCTTCGCACTTGTACTCGTCCACCATCTTGTATCCTCGTTTACAGGAGCACACGTAGCCGCCGACGGCGTTCTCCCAAATGAAGTAAAGGTCGAACTCACACTCATCTATGTCGATGCACACCGTACTGTCTCCTCTCTCCTCGGAAATGTAACCATCAGCGCAGTAGCACTGGAACGGGTCGTTGGGGTCGCACTCCGCCGGACACTCCACTTCACCGCAGTACAGCTGGCACCTGTTCGGAAACTTGGGGTCCACTTGGTACCCGTCGTAACACGAGCACTCGTAGCCGCCGTACGTGTTCGTGCACTTGTGTTCACAGGGAGCGGATGCGCATTCGTCCTCGTCCGCGCACTGATCCCCGCTGCGCAGGAATCCGGGCCTGCAGACGCACTTATAGCTGCCCACGCTGTTCAAACAGGTGAGCCCCTCGCCGGGACACCGACGTTTATCTGCGCACTCGTCCTCATCCAGGCAGGAGCGGCCGTCCGGCGCCAGGTGGAAACCCACGTCGCACACGCACACGGGCGAACCGTCGTTGGAGTGACAGGCTTGTTGACAGCGGAGCTCCAGGCACGGGTCGTCCTTCACGGGCACCTCGCAGGTGAGTCCGTTCTTCGGGTTGATGCTTTGTCCCTGCGGACAGTAACAGAAGGGGACGTTTCCATCGTCCACTGCACACTTGTGCTCACACCCACCCTCCTCCACCTCACAGCTCCACGGCGCCGGTATCCACTGTTTACCGAAGCATAAGTACTTGGTTTCGGATGGCTCGAGTGTGGCGACGGTGCCTGGCAGAATCAGCGACTCCTCAGACATATTGCCCACCCGTGTCCAATAGTGGATCCGCCCACTCCCTGCATTATCCAGGGCAAGGCATAGCTCATCCATTCTGTACTCGCACAGGAACCCGAGCTTCTGCTCCCCGCATGGCTCTTGGGTCCATTTAAAGTCGTTCTCTCTGGAAACCGAGACGCAGCGGGGAGAAGTGCAGCTGCTGTCAAAAGTTGGCAGCCAGTTAGAATATTCACTGAGAGGGTCTTCGGTCACCCACTGGTAGCCCTTCAGCTCGCCTTCAGGGTCTGGACAGGCGGTGGTGCGGCGCAAACCGATCCAGAAGGGTTCCGTTTCGTCCTTTAACAACAGTTGAAGTAAAGCATGTGACGAGGAGCGCACTGTCATTAAGTGGCCACCGTTGCTGGCGCATTTGTCCTGCGCTGTTTTGAAACGTTCGCCTTCTTGGACCACAGCGGCACACTGTGTCGACGTGCACTCTACACTCAGCGGCGTCCCGCCTCCCGTCGCCGCTAGGAAGAGTAACACAACGGCGAACAGTCCCGTTACATCCTTCATGTTGCAGCCTCGGTGTTCCTTCAAAGTTCTCCGAGGTCCCGCCGCTCCTTGGGTTAGGCTCGTTTGTTGCCCAGAGTAATTAGCGCGTATTTATAAGCCCACAACTCCATGCTCGAGCTACAGTAAGGAGGAGGAAGGAAGTCCCATACATCAGCCCTGCTAGGTCTCTGACTGTCTCTCCACAAACTTCTCTCCTCGGCGCCGCGCACCACATCCCAAATTAAGCACAGCTTTTACGCACGTACGTACGCGCGCACGCAACAGTGGGCTTTTGCTCTGCCCCCCTAACCCGGTTCCTTTTAAAGTACATTATGTAACGTCACACACACACACAGTATGGAGTATATTACACCATAAGCTAAGTATATGTAGCTCTGTATAAAATTGACATGGTGTAGAACAGGAGTGTCATTTTAATTGATCGTGTTAAGAAACTCAGTAGCATGGACTCTATTATAAGGCAATTCAACCCTTTTTAAGCTCCTGCGGGCCACACAAAATGGCCGCATTTGGTCCTCGGGCCTCAAGTTTGACACACGTGGTGTAGAGCCTTGACAAATTTCTAAGAATGGCTCAACGATTGCAAAATAAAATAAAAATAAATAATATATGTATATATCGGATAAATGACAGTACAAAAACGATTGTTGTATAACTGCAACGTATACGCTATTTATACGTAATGAATATTACCACAACGAAATATCTGTAACAGTACATGTTACAGATAAATGAATGCCCATTTAAAAATGTCTGCAGTTTAACTACCACGACTGTTTGACACAGAAAAACAAAAAAAAACAAAAAACAAATAAGTATTTACGTCAAAGATTTTCACGTAACTTTGTTTATTTGCAGCATCCTGTGCAGTGTACTGACTGACGTAGACATTAGAAGCACTGTTTTACATTCATGTTGAACTCCCCTCTCCCGACTGCGGAATACAGTGACGTCACTGTTACATTCAGTGTCATTAAAGCATCGCTGAAGTACATTAATATTTCCAAATATTTCAGATTTTGCAGTGCACAATGAATAATCATAACTATTTTTGCAAATAAAATCACCAAAGTACAATGTACATTTCTTTCCAGTGTTTTGTTCAAATTCTAATTTGTCACTTGTCAGTTTTGAAATGTATACAAGTCTGATAGCACAAACATGAAAAACAGCTATTGTCCTTAGAACATAAAAACATATTACATTTAGCTCAAGAGCTAACCACCTAGCTTTGAAACGATCGCTAAAATACTGAACGTACATAATACTTCAGACATGTGCTGTATACAGTAGTAAGCTGTTCAATGCCAGTGTACTTTTGTTTATTAATACTTGATATCAAGTTAATATATATATATATGTCATATATATACATGACATATAACCAAAGTCCAAGTGCATGTTCAATTAATAAAAAGCTAAACAGCGATTAGCATGGACGCTACAACTAATGGTGTGTTCTAGTTGTGCACAAATATCGGAATTTCTATCGTAAAAACTAAAGCACGGACATATAGAGGGGAAAAAAAGAAAACAAACAAACAAAAACAAGTACCCGACACCCAGATAATAATATAAAATACATAAATATAAATCAAACTATATGAATATATATATATAATTATAATGTAAGTATGAATTTCTGCCCACATACTTTTTTGTCGTAACTTTGTACAGTGTATGACAGCTACTGCAGTATAACATATGTCATCTTACAATTTCTCTTCTCAATATGTTACAACAGTGTTTCCCATACTTTTTTTCTAGGAACCCATATTTTAAAAGTCTCAAACTTTCACGACCCAAGTCGATAGACATTATTCATAAACCTATAATGCGAGATGGCTCCAAAAAGACATCTCTTGCGACCCACCTGAGGGTCGTGACCCAGTCTTTGGGAAACAATGTGTTACAACATGTTAGGTTGACAACAACAACAACAACAACAACAAAACAATCAATCTAATTTTTTTTCATAGGATAATGACATAACGTCAGAAAAACATGATCACATTCATCATTGAGTACCCAAGCTCTTTGAAAAGTCTTCACATCGAACTGCAATGAGAGGAAGAGGATTACTTTCCAAATACAGAATATTAACCTCTGGAAATGACTTCCAGAGACAAACACTGAAGTCTCTTTCGGGACACGTCAGTCATTGGCTGTCCGTCTTGGACTCTTTGTCAAAGGATAACCTCTTGTATGTCTCTGTGGTCACCTGCTGCAGGTAGAACACGTCAATGTCCTGGCTGGACAAGGAGGGCAGAGAAAAACTGCTGCAGCGTTGAAACAATCTCCACCCCATGAAGCTCACACAGACAAGGCACAGTACCAGAAACACAGAGATGCCCAGGATGCTGCCGGTCCTGATGTACTGGGGCAGGCTTGACTCCTGAGAAGCGACCCATGTGGAGCTTGGATGTGGCCCTAATTTGTCCGCGCCCTCCACCTTCTTGCCCTCGTCCTCCTTCTTCTTCTCACTCTCCTTCTTCTTTGGGATTGGTTTACAGGTGTCCTTCCCGTGCAGCTCGAACCCCTCTTTACAGAAACACCTGAACCCCCCAGGCTTATTTTCGCAGAGCTGGTCACACGTCCCCATATCACACTCGCTGATGACTCGGCAGAGGGTCACGTTGTTATCGACGTGTTTGAGGTAGCCTTCAGGACAAAGGCAGTCCTTGTCCGAGTTGTGGTCACACTCGGCCTCACAGGACTCACCGCAGTCCCGCACACACTTGACGGGGTTTGTCGGTGACACCTTGTAGCCCTTGCGGCATTCACACGCATAAACTCCATTCCTCTTCTTACACTTCATGTGCTCGCACTGAAGACAGATGGACTTGTTCACACACACTCCCGCATCCGTGTCAAAGCCGTCTCTGCACGAACACACGTAGCCCCCGTATGTGTTCCAACACCGCTCTCCCTCATTTTTGCACAGCTCTCCGTTCTCCGCGCACTCGTCCACGTCCACGCAACTCTTTCCGTCTTGCTCCAGCCTGAAGCCCGGTTCGCAGGCGTACACGTGCGAGCTGCGATTATGCGCGCAGCCGCTGCACGGGTCGTCGACACAGGTGTACTTGTTGGGATGGAGAGATTTTCCCGCCGGACACAAGCAGGTAACGGTTTGGTTTTTCTCTTTGCAGCTGTGTCCGCAGCCGCCCTCCTGAATTCCACAGGTCCACGGAGCCTTCAGCCACTTACCGGAGAAGCATACATACTTCGACTCTGGATGTTCGCCGTCCTTACCCCTCAGCGCTACGGTTCCACCTGGAAGCGCTTTTGCGTTCTCGAGCACGAAACCCATGTACCCGGTATACTTAACTGGCAGGTCCTTGTTTACCTGCAGATGCCTGCAGGGGTCTTGGATTTCTAAGTAGCAGACAACCCCCTCCAGCTTCTCTCCACAGTCCTTAGCCGAGATTGAAGCGTTCCCTGGAGGGGTCTTAGAGATTGTGACGCAGGCTTTAGTTCCATTCACCCTGTGGACCATCAGCCGCCAGTCAAACCCGGTGTCCGACTTCGAACCGAATGGTACGTTTTCGAATCCCGCCGTGATTGGGATCATTAATCCGCCTAATATCTTGCACCTCCTTGCCCCCCTCTGGTAATCCACGGACTCGCGGTAACCAATCCAACACCCGCCCTCGTCGCAGTATCCGTGCTGGGACTGTTCGGTTTTCACGAGAGCGCAAAACAAAGTCACGCACAGAAGTGCAAAAACTGACATGATGTCGGTGTTAGAGGGAGACAAGACTGTGGAATAGAACGACAAGTCCCTGGCACGACGACTGTGAAGTAGGCATAGTCCGTGTTTATAAAGACCTCCAACTAGGGGTGTTTTTCCGCGGTAGCCAGGAGAGGAAGGGAGTTCCGTCCGGTCCAGTTGTTTGAGGCCTGGGTTCACCCTCCCTTCTTATCGGTGTATGTGTGTGTGTGTGTGTGTGTGAGAGAGAGAGAGAGTGTGTGTGTGTGTTTAGAGCAAGACTCTAACAGTATACGCAAACACATCCATATTAAAGACAGAGAAATGTATAATCTAACACATCCATATTAAAGACAGAGAAATGAACAGAGGAAATACCATTTATTTCGGAGTTAAAACTTTTAAAATAAAACCTAAATCTATATGTTTGTGTTAAAGAAGAAAGAAAAAATAAAGAAAACAAATACGTTTCCTTTAATCTGATGACGATGTAAATAAAAGACAAGATATTCAGAACTTGCTAAAAAAAAAAAATCAAATTAAAAACGAAACACACACACTCACACCTACAATATATCAATATATATGTTGTTATATGTTGTTCCATTTGATTTATTAAAAGTTCATTCAGTCATTTAAGTATTAGTGAAAAGAAGTATTCATATACAGTATTCAAATGTCATGAAAAGTTCTTTTTCTAATATATGTGTGTGTGTGTGTGTAGTAGTTCTGTAGTAAAACATAAAGAACTGACTAACTCAGTTCCCTCAGCAGGTTCCAGAACTCTCCGTCTTTATTTTTAAAGGTGCTATCACTTGTGAGAAATTATTAATTTATATATATATATATATATATATTCCAAATCTGTATACGGCTACGTTGCTCGGCGTACAACCGCTTCCCTAATAATGTATTTTTAGTCTTCGTATGAAAATAGCCTCTACTCACATAACTCAGGAACACAATGGTTTCTAAGACCAACAATTGACTCACAGTTGCTAAAATATATTAATATATATCCTTACGGTCAGTTGGAATTTATCAGATTGATTGGTTAGAAATTCATTAGCAAAATGGCGGAGGAGGAAGAGGGCAGACTTTTTGTTTCCTCAGGGGAGGAAGTGACTGGACACGGAGGAGGAAGTAGGAACAAAAATGTTCGACAGGCGTCTTATGGCCACACAGTTCTGGGACCAAACACGACGACTGTTACGTAAACCATAATTTGGTGTGTGTTCCTTCCTTAGGCGGCAGATTTTCCAGGTGGAGTCCGGGTGTGGTCGTACTGAAAGATGGTGAGCACTGATTCTGTCGTCGAGTGACTCAGAGGATGAGGCAGGACATAAAAGCACGCCGTGTAGATGCCATTGAGCTTTCTAAATTAGTTTGTATTTGGAGACCTGGTTCTGCGTTATCATGTTAGTGCAGATATGTTAGGCGTTGGCGGTGATTGTTTAAATTCCTTATGATTTCCCTCTGTGAAAAAAGAAACCCGTTTGATTGAGGGGATGTGATCTCACAGACAAAATAATCAGTTCATTCAGGGTTTTTTTTTGTTATCGATGTCTGATATTAACCTTTTACCGATATCTGATATGCCGATATTGTCCAAACGTTTAATTACCAATACCAACCGATACCGACATACCGCGGCAGTGGTGGTTAAGAAAGTTAAGTGCCGCCTGCTCACTAAGGTGATGGGTTTAAAGCAGGGTTTCTCAATTATGCCATTCTGCCATTCCCCCACTAGAGGGCCTAATTTTTTTTTATATTGGCCGACTGGTATTATCGGACATTACTAGTTTTTGGATAAAGTTACTGTAGACTAAAGAATTATGAACATGTCTTTTTAGACCTCACATGTGGGTGATACTACTACTACTACTACTAATACTACTACTACCTTTGTACCAAGGACCAGTCAGCCGGTACCGAACGTTACTGCAGATCTACGCCAGTTCCGGAACTCAACTTCTTTAATTTTTAAAGTAGCTATTGCTTGTTATATCCTTTGATATAAATGAAAGCGTGAACTTTCTGTAAGTGGAAGGCTACTGAAATTTGAATCACTACATATACTGTATTTCAAATTTGTATGTGGTTCCATTGTGTAGCGGCTATCACTCCTGCCTTACATGCAGAAGGGTCTGGGTTTGGCCCCAAAGAATTAGTTTTTGCTTCGGTGAATGGGTACTCTCTCTTGTGTGCGAGCCACAGCCAATCAAACGGCCCTGTTTGACCTGTAACTGAATTTGAACTCAATCGTTCACAGAAATATATATATGTATATATATA